CCTCATTGTTGCTCCTTGCAGGCTTGATGGCTACGAGTTGGGCGCTGGTTTGAGAAGCCTGGTTTTGGCAGGCTTGGGGTCATTTGCTTGGAACCCTTATTTCTAAGCTCTCCCCAGTCACCTGCTGCTTAAAGCGGTGCATTTTCTTGATAGGAAAGCAACCACCTATCACGCCAGTATATGAGGTTGGGCTTGCTTGAACACAGTCCTTGTTTCTAGATCCTTTTCGCCTTGGAGCGTCTTTGCAGGCTTCAAGGCTGCGAGTTGAGCGCTGATAGTTGGAGACCGTTTAGGGCACTTTGCAGGGAACCCTTATTTCTGAACTCTCCCCAGTCACCTGCTGCTTAAAGCGGTGCATTTTATTGATAGGAAAACAACCTGTCAAGGGCGTTGTTGAGCAGGAGTTGTTTGGGCTCTTGAAATTTGGGTCAGCCTTGCGTTGTCAGCTCTGAGCAACTTGTCGCAGGATGTCTGGCTTCAGGTTGGCCGGCCCGTTTACAGCTTAGTTACAATGATTCGGGGCGTGTTCTCGTCACTGTCACGGAGGCTGCAGGAAGGGCCCCCGCCTGGGTTCTCAACAAACCCTGCACGCCGAAGATGTGACACCCCCCAAACATACATATGGTCGAAAATTGTATTTTAGTCGAGCATTTGCTGCTTCTTTCACGAGGGTATGACTGAGAATCTCGATCGCAAGTCAAGTCATTGCTTTGTCTGCGCGTGTTTGCGCGTGGGCCCGGCATGTTTACCATGGGTGTGCCTGGCCCGGTGAAAGCCTGAAAGCCTGAAACTTTCTGAGATCATTCATACGCATACGGAATTATACGCTTGTTTCATCAAAGCTTGCAAAAGGGGTATCGGTTGCACGTGGGCCTGGCATGTTTAATATTGCCGGGGCTGGATTGTTTTGCGGTGGCCTCAAGAATCTTCAAGTTTTCGAGGCCCTCGGTCTTAGCATAAATGTGAAGCTGTCGTTGATTTGCGAACCCATGAGTGTAGTCTCGGGCGGGCCTGGCCTGTTTACTGTGGGCCTTGCGCTGAAGCCTGCGC